GCAGGAAGAGGCCCCAAGGCCTCCTGGGGACTGCACTGAGGAGCTGGGTTGGTCTGGATGGTCAGCCCCAGGGTCCCAGAAAGAGGCTGGCAGGTGGTGCAGGCCCAGGGAAGCAGAGGGAGTTCAGGGCAGGGCCCAGCCCAGAAGCAGTACTCCTGGGGCCCAGAGAAGGCACTAAGTTGGTCTGGACGAAAAGGATCAGGGACCAGTATTGGTTCCCCAGGTGTCTGGGGCCCCAAGACAAGGAGTGGGGCAGAGCCCAACTTGGAGGAGAGAATGGTGGTGGAGATGGGAGGGTGAAGGAGGCTCTGGGAGTCACGGCTAGGAGGGCACAATGGACTTAGCCCAGAGAGAGGCCTTCGGGTAGGAGAGAGGACTGCCATGGGTCCTGCAGGCCCAGGGAAGCAGAGGGAGGTCAGGGCAGGGCCCAGCCCAGAAGCAGTGCTCCTGGGGCCCAGAGAAGGCACTAAATTGGCCTGGATGAAAAGGATCAGGGAACAGTATTGATGCCCCAGGTGTCTGGGGCCCGAAGACAAGAAATGGGGCAGGGCCCAAACTCGGAGGAGAGAATGGCAGTGGAGATGGGAGGGTGAGTGAGGCTGGGGGAGTCAAGGCAGGGAGGGTGCCATGGACTTACGCCAGAGAGAGGCCGGCGGGTATGAAAGAGGCCTGCTGCCGGTACTTCAGGCCCAGGGAAGGAGCTATACCTTTTTTTAAAACAAAATTGTCTTAATATGAACTTTATAACACCATCATTATATATTTCTCAGGTTTTCAAGTTAAGCGTTACCTGATGTATACGTAAAATTTAAAACTTGATAAACCCTCTAGCTAAAGCTCAAAAGTGCCACACACCTGTACTCTCAGTAGTCAAAAGGCTGAGACAGGAAGACTGTGAAAGTTCAAGGCCAGCCTTGGCTATGTAGTAAATCCTATCTGCAAAGAAATCATACACACATACTGATCTAAGTCCTTTAGATGCTGCGTTTATCCTGGCAGTGAGGATTAGAGGATATTTTGTTGGTAATATCTCTCCTTTCCCCCAGCTTTAAATAAGGAAACAATACATAAAAGAACATGAATATTTATTAACTATAATGACCAGATGTACAACAGATATCTTTAACTTATTCCTCTTCTTTAACTAAAATTTAATATCATTGATCAACATCTCTCCAAACTCCTCCCTCGACTTGACCCCTGGTAGCCAATGCTCTACTTTCTACTTCTGTGAATTTTTTTTTACATTTCCCATAATTATATTGTATTACTGAATGCTAACACGATAGATTTTAAGTGTTCTCTCTAAAAAACAGTAAGTATGTAAGTTAGCAAGTATAATTAGCTAATTTAGCCTTTTCACAATGTATATATATTTTATTTGTTTATTTGTTTTTTAGTCTCCTTAAGACAGGGTCTCCCTGTAGCTCCAACTGGCCTGGAACTCACTATGTAGACCAGGCTTGGCCTTGAACTCATAGAGATCTGCCTGCCTCTGCTTCCCAAGTGCTGGGATTAAAGGCATGCGCCACCACACCCAGCTTATATACATATTTTAAAACCACACATTATACACAGTAAATATATGCAATTTTTAGTTATCAGTTTAAATGAGTAAGTCCCCACACCAAAGAGGTTTTGAAGCCAAGAAGATAACATTAGATCCTCACTTTCTAGACCTGTAATGATGGAAAAGTTACCTGATTTCTCTGAACTTTATTTTTCCAATCTGCAAACTGTGTCTGTTTAAAGCTTACTTATAGTACTGTTGATAGGATTAAAAGAGTTAACACATATGACGTGTTTCCTGCTGCACGTGACTTGCTCTGTAAACTCATTGTCGTCATGGTTTCATCCCCACCAACCAACACATGCTTTATTCGGGTTGTGGGAATGAATATACTGTGTTCTTTGGCTAATGACTACGATGTGCATGGGTTGGAAAGATCCTAGATTAATGAGGAATAATGGGTGTTATGTGAAAGTGGAATGTTTTAAAAGCTTATTAATTTCACTTTTAAATTTAGACGGTATAGGACTTTTTTGATGTCTGAGAAAAGATTTGTAGCATCTCTAAGTATTGGCTGTCTTTTCTCCCATGTAATGTTGATGGAATTGCTTCTTCATCCAGGAATGTTTATTCTTCCCCCAATAGGTGGGCCCCAGCGAGCCAGAGGAAGTGTTATTGGAAATATTAATGATGTTGAATTTGGAATTGCTTTCCTTAATGCCACAATAACAGACAGCCCTAACTCTGATACAAAAATAATACACGCCAAGATTACCAATGTGCCTCGCAGTCTTGGTGAGTTTCTTCATTTAGGAAAGGTGTTCATAAACATATTTTTATCATATTCATTCATTCGTGTGTGTGTGGTGTGCATATGGGGCAGAGAACAGCTTGTGGGAGCCTTTTCTCACCTTCCATCATGTGGGTTCCAGAAACTGAACTCAGGCCATCCAACTTGGTGGCAAGTTCCTTTACCTACTGAGCGATCTCACTACCTTCAAAAACTTCTTTCTAAAAATTATACATCATTCTCTACCATACTGTTTTTACCTAAGGATTCTAAAGCATGCTACTCTTAAGTCATTGGAATAATGTCTTTATCCTTGGTAAAGTCATCGGTAAATTGTCTTTATCTTTGTCCCAATAAGAAAGGGCCTGGCAGGAGAGTGATGGGAGGAGAGAGGTAAATACAATCAAAGTACATTATTAAGAGTATGAAAATGTCATGAAACCAAGTATTTTGTACAGTTAATGTATTCTAGTAAAAAGGGTGCATAGAAAAGGTGCAAAGGGCTATTACTGGCTATATTGGTCTTCAGTCTTCATCCTCATGTACAATGCACTGTGACAATTGACTGTAAATAATTTGCTTTGACACCTTGTTCACCTTTTTTTTTCCTTTAGGTCCAGCGATGAGAAAGATAGTTTCTATTCTGAATCCCATTTACTGGACAACAGCAAAGGAAATAGGAGAAGCAGTCAATGGTTTTACCCTCACTAACGCAGTCTTCAAAAGAGAAACCCAAGTGGAATTTGCAACTGGTTAGTGTTAAGTGAACTCAATTTTCCATTACTGTATTTTTTAAGGTGGCTGTAAAGGCTGGTGATTAAGAAAAATATAGTGGATGTTCTGAAAGGAAATCACTAGAAAGTTTTTGGTGCAATCTTAACATAAATATCAAAATGCTTTTGTATTTTCCTACCAAAGAATACTAACATACAGTCTATGAAAGACAGTAAGTTCTCAAGCAGTATAATAATTTTTTTCCAAAGATATTTTTTCTCCTGTGTCTTTTTTCTTTAAATCCTTAGAGAGGGTTTAATGATTGAACAAAGAAGGAAAATGAGTCATTATCCTTATTATTTAAAGCCTTGTCTTTAAGCCTGAATCAACTAGGATACCTTATAGGAATTATTTCTCTGAAAGACGGAAGCAAATATAAAGGCTTTTTGCTCTATCCCTAGTCTTACTATTAGCACTTTGCAGCCCTTCCTGTGTTCATCGAGGTTTTTATAGACCTCCATTTCAGCCTCTCAGAAGTGGGCTAGCCTCAATGGCAGTGACTTCTAAGGAAGAACAGCAAGGAAGGGCTTCTCCTAAATCAGCATTTAATCAACACAGAAGACAGGTGGGCTCTTTTATGTCCAGCCACATGCTAAGATGCCCTTTTGCTGTTTCTTGAGGCTCTGGAGGAAACAAAGCCCTGTGCCTAGACTTTATGGGGTTTGCCAGTTGCTCGTGGAGTTACCCGTCTTATTGCACAAGCAATATTTTTGTAGAACTGCTTTGTAATATAAGTCTAAAGTATGGAATCTTTCGCATAATCAAATGCTATACTTTTTGCCACATAGAACTTTAGAAGAAAATTCAATAAGCCAGACCCTTTAACTGGGAGCCTAAATGCTAATTTCTCTTGACTGAATTTATTCATATCTGAAATAAAATGGCAGAGTTGAAATGCTATATTAAATAAATCTGTGTTACCATAACCATCTTTATTTTTTGCTGTGGAAGTTAATGCATTGTAATTCGCAGGAGAAATCTTACGGATGACACATGTGGCCCGGGGCTTGGACTCCGATGGTTCCTTCCTGCTAGATGTCATTGTAAGTGGCCATGTCCTGCAGCTGCAGTCACCTGCTGACGTCAATGTGAAGGTAACATGCTGCTCCTTGTGATTATCACAGTAACAGGCACAGGTCATTGTTCCAGAAACCCAAAGCACAAGGCACTTAGGTCCCTACCTTTACTGTTCACCTCAGACAGTAAATCATAACACCAGCAAGGTTGTAAATAGTTCTTTGGTCTTTGCTTTAAAAATTTGTCTTCTCTGAATGGTTTTATTACCACTAAACTCTCTGAATGGTTTTATTACCCTGTGTATCAGAGCCAGAATTGCTGCTGTGCTGATTTAAACCATTTGTTAAATGTTTTTTCTGAAAAAGAGAATAGCAATTCTTATAAAATGTTTTTGTATATCATCCATACAAGATTTTCAGAGCTTACAGAATGATAAAAATCATCCTTACATATCTTGCTTTATTCTTGACCTACAGCTTTACTCTTATGAAACTATAAATTATAACAGTGAATTACAAAACTGAAGTAGTTACAATTAAAAGATTCAAACTTCAGGTTATTTTTTTAAATAGTACTTTGTAATTACAGTTTTGTTTAGAACTCCATTTTTAGCCTGTAAGGCTTCTTTTTTACACACACACACACACACACACACACACACACACACACACAAACACCTTTCATAGTACAATGAAAAAATACTAGGAGCCATGTTAATCTTCAAATCCTTATATTTTCCTTAGGATTACACAGAGGACTACATTCAGACAGGCCCAGGGCAGCTCTATGCCCATTCAACCCGGCTCTTCACCATCGATGGCATCAGTGTTCCCTACACATGGAACCACACCATCTTCTACGATCAGGCAGGGGGAAGAATGCCTTTCTTGGTAGAAACACTTCACGCATCTTCTGTGGAAGCTGACTATAACCAATTAGAAGAGACATTGGGCTTTAAAATACATGCTTCAATTTCCAAAGGTAATTTGATTCAAGAAAAGTCCAAATATTTGTGCCACCATCTAGCTCTTTCTAAAAGGATGAAGATTATTTTCTTGAAGCCATGCTAAATAAGAACATGAAGGCCTAGAACTAACATGATGGAACTGGATTTCTTGTGTGTATGACATACTGTGTTTTGTTGCAGGTAAACCCTGTGATAAAGCCAAGTCAGTTAGAGTTCTAATGCATTTAGTTTATAGTATGCTTCTTCACATTGAAAGATGGGCCATAGGATTTTCAAGAATTGCATATGTGCCATTTCTCAGTGACCACCAGGGGGCAAACTTATATTCATGGTAGCTTAAAAAACGTTTCCATTCTCAGAACCTGTCCTAACAAAATCAGAGTCTACAATGAAAATTCTAGGTTTCATCCAGTGTTGTTTATAATAGGAAAATAATGGATAGACATCCTATAATTAGGAAATAAATATGTAAGTTATGACACAGTTGTATGCTAATCTCAAATAAGCATTGAAGTAATTTTAAAGAAATATTCAACTCATTAGTTTAGCAAATATTTGTTGAGTGTCTGCCATGTATTAGATAGAATTGTACATTCAAGAAAGTGAAAAGGAGGCCATTTATGACATAATCGTAATGGAAAAGCTGTGCCCAATATGATAAAACCTATATTTCTTACATCTGGGTAATTCTAAGGGAATCTTCGTAGTAATAAAGAGATTCATGTATCTCTTCCTTGACAATTATGAATTATTATATCAGACCAAAGGATCTACATTTGTGTGTGTGTGCATGCATGTGTGCATGTGTGTGCGTGTGTGTGTGTGTGTGTGTGTGTGTGTGTGTGTATCATGTGGAGATCAGAGGACAACTCTCAAGAGTCGGTTTTCTCTTTCCACCATGTTGGTCCCAGGGATCAAACTCAGGTGATAAAGTTTGACAAGAAAGCACCTTTATACCTGATGAGCCATTTCATTGGCCCAGGTTCTGTATTTTTAATCTCTTCAAATGATTGTTCTGTTGATAAACTTTGACAATTATTAGCCATTACTTTCAAACTTAACATTTTAAATATGTACTCATTACAACGACCAAAAGGAAAAACCACTACATGTCAACAAAGAAACTGTTCCAACTGACAAAGTCATAGGAGTTTTACTTTAGACTTTTCAAATTTTCTACTATTAAAATTCAATACTATGCCATAAACAAATATTTTATGTTGCCTTTTGTCTTGAGGTAAAAATCACAGCTGTAATTCAAAATAATCAACTTTACGACCTAAAGAAGGGGGTTTGGAAAGATGGCTTGGTGGATAAAGGTCCTTGCTATCAAGTCTAATGACCTAAGGCTAATTCCTGGGACCCACACAGTGGAAGGGGAAAATGAACTTCCACAAGTTGTCCTCTGGCTTCCATACACACACACACACACACACACACACACACACACACACACACAGATTAGCAAATAAATACAGTAAGAATGGCTCTGTGGGTAAAGTCCTGAGCAAGCATTCTGCATTCGGATCCCCAGAGTCCACATACCTGTAATTCCAGGGCTGGGGGACAGAGCCTGGGAGCTTACTGGCCAACTACTCTAGTTAAAATGGCAGTCTTTAGGCTCAGTGAGAAACATTGTCTTAAAAAAATAAGATGGATAAGGTGGATTGAGGAAAGACATCCCAACATCAGCCTATGGTTTCCACATACTCACAGAAGTGTACACACACGCACCTGTACGTGTATACACCACACATCCTCACAAAAAGAAAAGGACTAGAAGAAAGTAATTCATATTTAAGCATTTTATGTTGTTTTTAATTTATTTTTCTGTGTATGAGTGTTTCCCCTGCATGTATGTAAGTATACAATATGCATGCATATGGAGGCCAGAAGAGAGTATCAAAGCCCCTGGAACTAAAGACAGTTGTTAACCACCATGTGGCTGGGAACTGAACTCGAGTCTTCTGCAAGAACAGCAAGTATTCTTAACCTCTGAGCCATCTTCCCAGTGCCATGATTCAATAATAAAATCTTTGGACAAAGAAAAGTAGTCATGTGCCTCAACTTACCTATAGACCAGTACGTGATTGGGGGGGGGTAAATAACTCTATTTCATTCTAAATGCCATAAATCACAAACAGATACCAATTTACATGATAGTTGTATTCCTAGAAAATTCATTATATAATAAAATTATATTAAAACTATTATAGTACATATACTCAAGCCTTGGATAATTACAGCTTCCTTCTTACATGAAAATCTTGCAGAGAAAGGAACAAATTTTATATGATTATTCTACACATTTCAGTATTGTAAAACCTTCCCCTGGACCTTCCCCACTCACTTGGCTTCTCTGCCCCCCTCTCTTCCTTTATTCTTTTCTTACTTTTATTTTCCAATCGGAGCTTCCTATTGGAATATATTCCTATTAGAATAGTTTAGCTTCCAGCTAACCTCAGAGTTGTATCTTTCTGCTTCACTCTCAAAATTACAGGCCTGTGTCTCCACACCCAGCTCCCTGCTCTAAATTTTTTATGTGTATGAGTGTATTGTCTGCATGTGTGTAAGTGCACCAGTGTTGTGCAATGCCCTCAGAAATCAGAAGAGGGCATCAAATCCCCTGGAACTGTAGGCAGTTGTTAGCCACCATATGGGTGCTAGGAATTGAACCTGGGTCTTCTGCAAGAGCAGTCAGTGCTCTTAACTGTGAAGCCATCTCTCTATCACCCCCTCCTCTAAATTTTAACCGTCATCTTTATCATGATGACATGCAAGGATTCGCCCCTGAAAATTCCTCAAATGTCACCTGATAGTATCTTTTCCAGTTAAATCAAAACATGTAAAGCATCTGTGTGATAATAATATGTTTATATGGCATGATTCTTTTTCCAAAATTACATCCCCAAGTTGGTGCCCCACACCAACAACAGCAATCTTAACATACTGGTTAAGATTAACAAATGTAGAAATAAATGAATGATGGAATATAAATTATAATAACCACCTGATTCAGCAGTGGAAAGTCAGAGACTCTCATCCAAAGTCTGTCCACGCTAGATCTTCAATAGTAAGGAGCTGACAGAATGCTACTTTCAGACACCTCATCTGAAAATGTTATCAAGAGGACAGTAGGGAAGCCACAGTATTAAATGGAATAAGGCAGATAGTAACCTTCTGTCACTGTGTAACACATGCACTAGATGGTTTTGTTCCACCCACCTGATTCCCACTTTCCACTCCTTTGCACATGCAAGAAGCTTTGAATGTTCTCACGAAGGAGTTTCCTTCACTCACCTGTTCTCAGCCCATTTTTCCTGGCATCCACTGGCATCTATAAACAGTCACACGTGAGCATTCCAGCCTGATTCTCAACCTTGCAAATGGAAAAAAATCCAAAACAGAACAGAAACTTCTGCCTGGTGTTTTTATTTTCCACTGGTGCAAAATATTTTAGTTGTTTGTAAACAACATTTCTTCTTGAATGAAAGAGCACCAGTGACTGAGAGAACAGAATTTGCCTGTCTGACATACATAGTTATCCTGGGTTCTTTTTAGCAACATAGAATAATTTTATTTCAATTTTTAATGGATATATATAACTTAAACAGAAAATCTGTTTCTGGTGGCAATTTACCTACAATCTCTGGACTCATTTAGCTCGTGGTTGAGAAATCCATTCTCCATTCTTGCTTGTTTCCACGTAGTGCATTTCTCATGGTTTCTTCTTTGGCCTATCTTCCCAGGGAAGGACGTACTGGAAAGAAACTAGATGCCAGTATTCTAGTACATCATTTAAATGCACTTTCCTCTCTTTGGTAGGAGAGCGCAGTAACCAGTGCCCCTCTGGATTTGCCTTAGACTCAGTTGGACCCTTCTGTGCTGGTAAGTATAAGAATGAATAAAGAAAGCATCATTATTTCATAAAAAGTATTAGCAATGGTTATCTTTTTTACATTTATTTATTTATATGGCAGGGAGGGGCAGGGTGCATGTGCCGTGACACAAATATGTAGGTCAAAGACATCAGGAGTCAGTTTTCTCCTTCCACCATGTGGGTTCCTAGGATCAAGCTCAGGCCTTTAAGTTTGACAGAAGCACTTTTATCAGCTGAGCCATCTTGCAGGCCCAAATAATGGTTCTCTTTAATGAAGATATTTGACCATCACAATAATCATGTAAATGTTCCATTTGATAGCTAAGAAAATGGAGGTATAGAGAAGTTAAATAAACTATTTAGCATCAAGTATCAGGACTAGACTTGAATTTAAGTGAGATGACAAAGCCTTTGTTCCTTCAAACTTGGCCACAGTCAGCCGTGCCAGAGATAGTGACCAAGTAAAGAGTGGGGTGAACAGAGAGGCAGCACTGCATTCAATCCAGTGCTTCTATGGGTGTGAGATAGCAGTCATCCAACACACATTCACCTAACCTAGAACTGCTCAGTCTTAAGACAGAGCAGGATTTTTGCCGATGAGTAACCATGAAACCAACTTTGTCCCACCAGGTGCCAGTGCAGACAAATCACAGAGGATCATAGCTAAGTAAATGACTCCGTGAGTTCATACTCCATGCACAGTGCTGCTCTGACTGGCAGACAACACGATGTAGTATGATGGCTCAAAGGAAGCCTTTAGACTGCATTCAGATCACAGCTCTGACAGTAAAGGCCTCAGTTTACTTAACCTCTGTTCTCCAGACCTGTCATTCAGAAAGAGACCAGTTAAAAAAAAAAAAAACCCTATTTCCAAACACATTCTTTAGAGAATGAGTTAAAACAGGTACATCACATTTAGATCCCATAAACAATAAATATGTTTTAACTGTTGTTTTTGTTTTAGAATAAAATCGAGACATATATTCGTGATCAAAGATAATATTGAGACCCCCAAGTTAACTTCTCCTTAGTAATTCCATTTTGTGGGACTTAAGAGTATTCTCTATTATATAGATTCAGTTCCTTGTCTCCTTTAAAGGATTATTTTCACTGACTTTACAACTCTCAGACAGCAGAGGTCTTGCACACTGGTAGGCCTTTTGCTTTTTTCTCTTTCAGATGAAGACGAATGCTCTGCAGGGAATCCCTGCTCCCATATCTGCCACAATGCCATGGGAACCTACTACTGCTCCTGCCCCAAAGGCCTCACGATAGCTGCAGATGGAAGAACTTGTCAAGGTATTCACAAAACTGAATCCAATAGGAAAGACAACATTTGACCTAGGAAAAACAGGGTAGACCAATCCCCTTCCAGTCACCTCTGCCCACACCTTGAGCAGATGAAGGTCCTTATTGGGTTGAGAAAGTAAGAGAGAGAAAACACTGGTCAAGAATTGCCTTCATAAGGGCACTCAGAAGGCAGGGATGTCTAGGGTATTACACTGAAGATCTCAGAACAATTCACTTTTAAACAGGCACCTAACATAAGTAATCCAGTTGATTTGGTTTGTGAGGACATCATGCCATACTGCTGTGGCTTTGTCAAGTATTTGATCCACCTTAAATGATTCAACCAAAAAATTCAGTCCTTCTTGCTCATCTGTGTTTTCAAATATCACTCATAGTGTCCGAATCCCTATGCCCTTGCAAGTTCTGATATTGAGTTTCTTTCACTTCACCTCAACTGTATGGCTCCTTCTCCTGTAGACATTGATGAGTGTGCCTTGGGTAGACATGCCTGTCATGCTGGCCAGGACTGTGACAACACCATTGGATCCTATCGCTGTGTGGTCCATTGTGGAACTGGCTTCCGAAGAACCTCTGATGGGCTAAGTTGTCAAGGTATAAACATGGAAGACTTTTCTTTCCTTTCACATGTGTGTGTGCACACACACACATGCACACACACACACACACACGCACACATATATATATATATGCATGCTTGAATGTGTGTGGGTACACAGGTGCAGGCACATGTGGATGCTAGGGGTTGGCCTCAGGTGTCTTTCTCAGTTGCTTTCCACTTTATTTACTACAATGGGGTGTCCCAATGAACTTGGGGCTCACCAGTTCAGCTAGTCTGATGAGCCACTTGCCCCAGGTGTCTCCTGTCCCTGCCTCTCAAGCACTGGGATTATAGATGGGCTGCCACACCTGCTTGGTTCTTATGTGGGCTCTGGGGATCTGATCTCCAGCCTGTTAGCTCGTGGCAAGCACTTTGTTTTGTTTCGTTTTTTTCTCTATTTTAATTCCAGTCTTTTAGCATTA